ACTTGCTTTTTTAATTCCAATGATTAATAAATGTTCTTTATACTCACTAACTAAATTAATGCGAATGAAATGATTTTCGGGTATTACGTCATAGTAATGGTAAATAAGTATTTATGATCTTAATTTGTGAACTTGCTTTTTTAATTCCAATGATTTAATAAAGGTATCAAAAACTACTATGCATCTTACCCGAACCTATCCAGTTAAGGGGTGTAGAGTTATTTTCCGAGAAACTCGCCATTGCATCTATAGCAACATCGTAAAGCAAAAAAATAAAAACTGTGAAATTAAAAATTCTAACAGTCAGCGTAACAGAAATACAAAATGTGCAGCAATACTCAAATTTAAATTAGAGAAATCAAATCTTAGAACCTCTCACCCACTAGAGATTAACCTTTATTTTACTCACAACCATTTGCCAAATTCAGCTGCTTCTTTTAGTTTCTGTCCAGTTAATAAGAAAACACAAAAACAATATATAGACTTGTTTAGTATAGAGCATATAGCAGCTTCAGCAAAACATTGTATATGAAGATAAATTGCACTTATCTGCAATGGATAATGATGAACTTGCACGTTTGTTGGCTGATCGAGCTAAAAATCTGGATGGGGGTTTTGTGCGAAATCTTTATAACCAATTTTGTACTACTCAACTTGATAATCGAAATGGAAAAGGTATGTTTGATCGACTACAAGAGATGGTCGATCAATATAATGAATCAAATAATGGAAAAGCAACTCTCCAAATATATAATTCAACAACAAGTATGCCTTTTATTCTTTGCATTGTTACAAGCTTAATAATAAGAGTACATGAAAAGATTCGCCAGGCTGGTAAACTTTGTTTCCTGGATGCATCTGCTTCATTCGATCCACTTAATACATTGATTAGCCTTCTTTATATGAGTTGCATAGCTTGGTGCCCTTCCCTTAGGAATATTCTTAACATCTGACGAAGCTGAAGTTATGATTGAGAATGCCATTAATTTACTTAAAAGTATTTTACCTGCCAATGCTTTTTATGGATGTGGGCCTCAATTGGGCCCCAAGTTATTATTACAGACGATTCTCACGCTGAACGCAATGCCTAAAGATTTGTTGGCCAACTTGTATCTATTTACTATGTATCTTCCATATATTACAGGCACTTTGGCGCTGATTATACGATTCAAAGCACAAAATTCATAAAGATGATCATATTTCAATTATAAACTCCTTTAAATCTGTTCTGTATGCACCTACTATTCCTAAAATAGATGAAGAGTTTGTTAAATTTAGTAAATTATATTTTACTAAATATAGACAACTTGTGTCATACTATACAATTCTTTGGCTTCTTGGGCACTATCATATCAGGTAGATTTGTTATTACGCAAAAACCACACTAATAATTATGTGGAAAGAAGCTTTGGAATTATAAAAGACATTGTTTTTGGGAGAACTCAAGCTTACAATGTCATACAAATATTTCAGCTTATTATGACATGCATAGAATGTTTTTACAAAAGACGATTAATGGGTATTGCTAATCAACACTCTGGTTATTTAGAATTATCAAAGCATTTTCTTTGTCCTGGCTGGACAATAGTAAATCAGAAAGAAATTCAACATGATATAATTAATAATATATACACTATACCAAGTGTAATGACTGTTAGTAAAACTTATATAGTCGATCTATCTATTGGAACATACACATACGTCGCTGTACTTGGAGGATCACCTTGTAAGCACCAAGCTGCGGTTGTGATTAAGTATCATGAAGGATCATTTAATTATTTTTCTGCTCTTTCCATCGATGATTGTATGACTTACTATTATATTGCTTGTAGTAAGCAAATTTGTATACATATTTATATATACTTTTAATTACAGTGTATATAAATAACTCACGAATAAAAATATTAATAGAATGTGTTTTAAAGAGACTGTCGCAAAAGATTCTACATTTTATGCAGCTTTACGTGCTCCTATTGTGTTGGAAAATAGTCAAATTACTAAAAAAAATATCAATCTTGCTTCTGAAGATATTCATGAAGATACACTTACTGTCGATGGTGATAATTGTGCTACCATTCAGTAATATAGCATATAAATGGTTAAGTTAAATAAACTAAATTTTTGTTTAATTTTTTATTTTATATTTTTTAAGCAAACCTATTAATGTAGTGGATATGAGCGCATGAGTTGAAGCTATTGAAAATTTTTTTTATCATATTATTGACAAGGTGAAAAATAATAGCCAACTACTTGTGGGTATCAAATATTTTAAAAAAGGATATGAAAAGGCTAAATCTTTGTCAGATGGAAAATTGGCATCTTATCTTTATCAACGAAACTCTACCACACAAGCTGAATCAATACGAAGTGGTGCCAAAATAAGGGTGCAACCAGCATCCATTCAATGAAGAAAATGTAAAATATCTCAAGAAAACATTGACCTAACCATTATGGGTGCACGCAAAAAGAGAAAAGTTCCAAAAAAAATACACAAATTATCAAAAAGTATCGCCAATAATAAGCAAAATTAAAAGTTGCGATCGTTAAATAAAATTGTTATTAAATACAGAAATATGTATTGAATAAGAAATATGTATTCGAAAAATTTATTATATGTATTTTTTATACGTATATATACTTATTATTTCACTAACAATAACGATAATAAAAGTTTGTAAAAAAAATTTATTTTGTATTCCGAAGTAGTCATCCGGACTAGTCCGGAGGAAAACCTTGTATACATTTTCGGTGTGCTATTTACCATTACTATGACGTAATACCCGAAACTCATTTCATTCGCATTAATTTAGTCGGTGAGTATAAAAAACATTTATTAATCATTGGAATTAAAAAAGCAAGTTCACAAATCAAGATCATAAATACTTATTTACCATTACTATGATGTAATACCCGAAAATCATTCATTCGCATTAATCTTTCATTCAGCTCGTGAGTATAAAGAACATTTATTAATCATTGGAATTAAAAAAAGCAAGTTCACAAATCAAGATCATAAATACTTTATTTACCATTACTATGACGTAATATCCTTCAAATCATTTTATTCACATTAATTTAGTCAGTAAGTAAAAATTATTTACATTTGGATATAAAGTTTAAAATAGCATTTAAAAATATTTATGTATTGTGATTATAAAGTGACTCTAAATATAGAAAATGTGCCCATTGTAATGAAGATAACACATATAAAGCATGGTGTTTATCATGCGACCCCGACTTAGAAACGACAAGGTGGACAAGTAGAAATAAAGATATTGATGATTGTATAAAAAAGTTCCAACTTAGATCCTATACATACGATGAAGCAATCGAATGGATTCCATTTGATAGATTATCTGATGTTAAAGAAATTGGCAAAGGAGGATTCGGCTCTGTATATTC